GGGGATTACAATCCCGAAACGGGACGATTCACCTGCAGAGTGCCGGGCGTTTACTACTTCGCCGTTCACGCCACAGTCTACCGCTCCAGCTTGCAGTTTGACCTTATAAAGAACGGACACACCGTGGCCTCCTACTTTCAGATCTTTGGTAACTGGTCCAAACCAGCCTCTCTGTCTGGAGGGACACTAGCACACTTGATTCCAGGAGATCAGGTGTGGGTGCAGATGGCCCTTGGCGAGTACACTGGCTTTTACTCCAGCCCGAAGACAGACAGCACTTTCACTGGTTTCCTAGTGTACTCAGACTGGAAAAACTCTGCTGTTTTTGCATAGATTTAAAGTACACTGCAACTAACTTTCTCTCTGTCTAATAAAGGTTTCATGAATTCAGAAAATATTTTAATGGGTAAGACAAAGGCATTTGATTGGCCTTGATTAGTAATAATTTCATTAGAATCAAATATGATCAGCACTGAACAGATTACGTTCTAAGCACATGTAGTCATACAGAATAAAGTTACTAGAGTATTTCCATGCAAAGAATTCAACTATGAAAGTCATTAATGAAACACATTACTACTTTGGAAATATGGAATAAAAAAATCAAAATACAGAAAAAGAAATCCTTCTGCTGTTTTTACAGAAACTGTTTATTCTGGTGGCAGTCTATATTTTGTGAAAAAGCACAATAAATACTTTCCAACATTTCTCTGGAATATGACTTCAATAAAAAATGACACTCATAATTGCCTTATTTGTCAGTAAATGTTACAAGGAAAAGTCATTTCTTCTGCTGGGAAACTGGGAGCTGTGGTTTCAGGTTTCATGGTGCATTTAGAGCAATACCTCATCTTTAACAGGAAATGCTGTAATTATTTATTCACTCAAGTTCTTCCAAATCTGTATAAAGGCTCGTTCACAACAAGAACAATAACTATTAAGATAAGTTAACTATATTAGAGTCACACCAATAACGTTCTGTTTATTCTGAGCACGTGCAGCCAGTTAGTTTGTCTACTGCTTTGCACGCTCAAGTTCTCTAAAGTTGTGTGGATTCTGATTGGATGTCAATGTTTTCATCATTCATCACCTGGAAAAAAAAACGTTTTGAAAGTGATTCCAGCAATATCGTTCCTCTGTAACATTTTAGTTGTGGTGAAGACTCTGCTATTGTTTAAAATTTTGAATGGTTTTGAAAACTATATCTTGGTGTGAATGGGTCTTTACTGTTGTTTCTTCTGTGGAACACGTGGAGAATTTTTGAAGAATGTAATGGGGACTGGAGGACTTTCAATCTTCAAAACGGATGCAGAAGCATCATAAAAGTGTAGTACTAATTACTTATGAACTGGACATTTTGTGTGAAGGTGAAATTTTTCCACGTGCAGATTCATTATAGTCACATGGATGTGCTGTGTTGACTAACAGAAAGATGTTTATTTTGGAAGTGACCTCTTGAGTAAGCTGTATTTCATGCATCACTTTGCTAGTGACAATGGAGGTTCTTTGCCAGTTTCGCTAATGTGACCAAGCCTTAAACTACAAATTGTATATTTATAGAAAGCCAGAATCCATGATTTGTGTTTGGTTACCTCTGTGTGCGGAGTCACGCAGACATCATGTTAACAAGCCTCATTTTCCAAAGCTTGAACTTTGTTTAAATGAAACAGATCCTGGTCTAAACGTAGCTTTCTCTTTCTTTCTCTCATTCTCTCTATCCCTTCTCCTGTTTTTCTACAAGTTTTTGTTTGAAGACAAGTAGTTCCAAATTTCCCCAGGTTGCTGGCAGAGACGTCCACGGAATGTTTTCGCAGTAACATTGAGAAGAATGAGAGGTACATTTGTATCCTCCCTTTGTGCAGTTCATTTCCATGAGGTCATGGCCTTCCCCCTTTCACAGCTGTTAGCAGAGCACTTCAACCAGACAGAAACAACCTCAGAAAGGCGTCTGAATCCAAGTCCTGAAACTTTTATCATTTCCATTCACAACACTACTTATTTATTAGTCTTAATGGCAGGGCTTTGAGTGAGCTGGTTTAACAAGCATATAAAACATCAAAACAGTGTCTAAAGGTCCAGATTCTGCTACATACATCAATTCTAAAAGCAATCTGAATTGCAGACCAGATTTATTTGAAAAATGTGTTTTAAGGACCATTTTTGATGTAATTTTCCTGTCACAATAGTGCAAGTTGGCATAATCTGTATGATATTAGTAATTGAGTGCCACTGAATGTTTAAGTCAGTGTACTCTTCTAAATCACACTAATGACTAACCATTAAATGATACATCTTTTGCATATATATGCAAATATATATATAAATATACGTTCATATACTGTTATTTACACAATTTACCATAGACATACATGTCCTAAAACTTTACAAAACCTAAACTGTTATAAAGTGAATTATCTGTATTTCTTTGTTTTTGGATTTTAAATAACACCACAGATTCTAAATGTGTAATCATTTGTAAGCGCTAATGCTTTCATTAGGAATCATATTATGCTTCCATTTTTATTAATATCAGCAGAGGGCGCCCTTTCATTATCCTCGGAGTACTCGCGCCTGTATTACAGCTTTAGTTCCCATTTATTCCTATTATTGGTTCTGTACTTTGCTTTAATAACAGCAGGGGGCGTTCTTTCATCATCATAACCACAGGTAACAGGTTAAGGGTTAGTACCTAATTATTACCCAGTTATTTAAATAACTATAAGTATGTACATGTTGAACAGGACTGTAAAAGTACTGCTTCCACAAAAATAGTATTTTTGTTTTAACAGGTTACTTTCCATTTACTCAGTAGTTGCCAGATCCTTGTGAAATTTCATGTATAATGCTAGGCGTAATGGAAGTGCCCTGTGCCGTGGATGCTTTTGTGTGGGTGTGAGGAACTGGTGTTTTTCCCTGTTCTCATCCTCAGAGACAGGAACGTTCCTGTTGACCCAAAGGCTGGAGGCTCAGTGGGCCCAGGGCCAGACACACTCATACACTGTGAATTGGATGACCCTCTGAATGACTCTATTCTAGCTGTGCTATAGTTAGAAGACCCTGCATGAGTATCAGGATCCCAAGTGCTCATTTTTTCAGGAAGTTTATAAAAATGTTGAGGGTACAGTATCATGCTTTTGTTCTTTCTAAATGCTACAACACTACAACATTTCAAGCTGTGCCTGTCTATTTGTGAGATTCATCGTAAAGAGATTACTCAAAAATGAAAATTCTGTCATCACTTACTCACTCTCTTGGTGCTCAATGACACCCTTGTGTCATTCCAAACTCATGCGACTTTGGTTAATCTTCGAAACACAAACTGAGATATTTTTAATGAAACCTGTAAGGTTTCTGTCCTTCCACTGAAAGTACAGGTAACCAAAAGGCAGAAGATACAATAAGGCTATAAAGGCATTAAGATATTAATACAATTAATAAAAGCCTAAATTGAGTAAATAATGACAGAATTTTTATTTTTGGGTGAAATAACCTTTTAAGAGAATGATGCCATATGTCATATTTTCTTGATGTTTATCCATTTGGTAATTTATTTGAGGGTTAGTCTGAGTGTAGACCATTACAAATAAGGAAGCAAAGGTTAACTTGTAAGCTGGACTCAAATTGATAAATCAATCAACAAACAAGAAACGTGTTTAAAAATATCCCACCTGTGCTTAGAGTTAAATTCCCATACTTTATAATCAAATTTTTCATAAAAGTAGATTATAAAGTATATTAGTAGATTATATAATCATACTTTTTTAATAATAAAAAAAAAGACATTTAAAAGATCTTACTCTAAAGACTGTGCAAATAACAATCAATGAAGTGGTGCTTAGTTTTGTTTCAAGGAACAAAATAAATGAGGAAATACTCTTTTATCTCTGTTTAAAAAATAGGATACTTTACTCTGTTGAATTCATTATGGTGACTTACTTCCTAAGCTTTAGGTTATTTTTAAAGCATTGTTCTCAAGTATGCAGTTACAGATAGCAGATATGAAAGATGCATCCGAATGTAAGCACTCTATTTGGTTGAATGCTGTTTCTAAGTGCACAACAATGTGAGATACAGATTTCCATTTGTTAAAATTGCTGGAATGTGGAGCTGTCCAGTGCTAAATGTGTTTCCTTTTATACTTCTAGAGTAAAGCTTGCATTTCACACACCTTATATCAAATGAAAGACTTAAAGCTACTTCTCTACCACTTCAAAGATTCTCTAATGGTTGGCAAATGTTTAAACTGTGTACATACACTACCGGTCAAATGTTTGAAATAGCTTAAGGATTTTTTTTTGTAATATTGTGAAATATTATTACAATTTAAAATAATTGCTTTTTATTTAAATACGTTTTCAAATGTAATTTATTGCTGTGATGATAATGCTGAATTTTCAAGTCATTAAAGTCTTCAGTGTCACATGATCCTTCAGAAATCATTTTAATATACTGATATTAAGCAGCACAAGTGTTTTCAACATTGATAATAATAATAAATGTTTTTGTGCAGAAAATCAGCATATTAGAATGATTCTGAAAAATCATGTGATACTGAAGACTGGAGTAATGGTTGCTGAAAATTCAGCTTTGCCATCACAGGAATAAAATTATATGTACTACAAATAAATGCAGCCTTGGTGAGCATAAGAGAGCTAATTTCAAAAACATTAAAAAATCTTAAGTTTGACCGGTAGTGTAGCGGAGTTAAACACTAGTTCTATCTGATTGATTGTGAGGCATGATAACACTGGATCAGGCTTTGGGAAACTCCCTTCCCATGATTTAACAACTAGAGGAAGTGAAGTCCATTATACTCTCTGGTTCATAAGGTCCCAGCCCACGAAAGCAGCTTCAAATCTCTGCTTGTGTGCTGATCTCAGCTTAGAAGTGGCATAAGTCATTTATCACAATCAAAGACATTGTTGTGAATTGCATTTTAGTCCAATGACGAAACTACTACAAGTTGTTCTGAAGACAAAGACAATACGACCACACAGTCAAATACTGTTTATTGTTCATCTGGATAGTCAGTGAATGTGGTTTTGATATTATCCAGGCCTCTGGAGAGACAGACATCTGCTCTACCCACAAACATCATCACTGGAGACCTTCATAGAAAACAAGCGTCTGTGGTACAAGAATAAAAAAGGTTTGGGGCTTAATATGGAATGAAATCACAGCTTGTTTAAAAACCTTAAAATTACAATAATAAACCATGGGTTAGTGCTTGTCACCTGCATTGTGCAGAATTGAGAGTGTTAGAAATAAGTAGGGACTATAGAGTAATTTTTTATATTTTAAGGAAGGACAACAGCTTGCATGGACCTTGCAAATACTTTTTTCTCTTAAATGCACCTGATTGTCTTGTGCATTGTGCCTTTCTGAATGGGTTTTGAAATATCATGGAAGACCAAAATAACTGACATAAACCAGAAAAGCCTGTACTTTGTTTCTATAATGCACAAGATGTTTTCCAAAATAGTGATTTCTAACAACATCCCCTGGACAAAGCTGAGCTAAAAGCCTTTCTGCCACTCTGTTTTTACCGGTAACTGAATTGAATTACTGTCTTCTCAAAACAAAAAACAAGCACAAAATGTCGATTTGAAAATGCATTAATCAATACCACTTGAGCAGTGAGAAAGCCTTGCTGTTCAATAATAAATGACAAAAACAGCACGAATACATCATCAGATTGTAGAATAACTTGTGAAAATATTGTAGTGACACTTGTATTTAAAAAGAGTACAAAACAGCTTTGGTGGAATGATTACATTTTGTATGCAAAGCAAAACAGATTTCTCCAACACAAAAAAAAAAATAAAAATCTGATGTTGTAGATGCTCCCATGAAAGCTTTGATCACCTTTACAGTCACGTAAGAAATTAAGCAGACAACAAATCATACTAAGGCCCAATGTTCATATTGTATTACACAAATATTCCCCATAAACATCACAATAATCCACACTTGACAAGACTTCAATCCATCCATTAACACTGAAAAGCTGCATGTAAGAAACAAATCCATCTCTTCTGGCCAAAATACAAATCCATTAATTTTTGCTTGTAAACGGTACTTGATTTGTGCATATTTCTCTCCTGATTCAAATGAGACAACCTTTTCACTGGGGAAAGCAATATTATGGATTGAGAACTTGACTGGAATGGTTTGAAGTTAAAAATATCTTGATGGATCTGCATATTATAAAAACACAGAAGACACTAACTGATGGACTGAAGTCATGTGAATTATTGTGAGGTTTCAAAGGTTCCCATGAAGCCTTTGATCACTTTTACAATCAGGCAAAAATAAATAAAATAGACAATTCATACAATAAGGCCCAACGTTAGTATTGCAGCATACAAATGTTCCCCATTAACACTCGACAATTACATCATAAATCTTCTATCTTCACAATTAACGCCCCATTTTTAATGTTTTTTAATACAAAACTTACATTCATGTGATACTGCTTCTACAAGCTGATGAAAAAAGTGACAATGAATATAAAATCATAAGAAAGCATGGGCACAGTCGTCAGCCTTGCCTTAACGATTTACAAAAGGTTGCGATTTAAATCTATATACAAGCATCAGTAGTGGAATGGCCATCTATGAAAAAGGAACAAGTGGTTTCCCACATTTCAAGAACAGTGCTGCTCAAAAAACCTGAGGATGACAGAAACACATCCGTAAACGCTTCCCTCAGAGATACACGTCCATGGTCTGAAGGATCATGTGGCGGCACAAGGGGCAGTTTTGTTGGTAGATAGGCTGGCTGAGCAAAATGTTGGTGCAGTCTCTACACAAGCACAAGTGACGGCACGGCAGGAGCACAACAGTCTTGGTGCTGTCCTGACAGATCACACACTTCTTCCTCTCCTCTTGCTCCTGCAGAAGAGTCAGCAGGTTGTCAGCCGGAGGGCCTTTGCAACTGTCCTCCGAAGGAAATTTTCGGAGCAGCCTGCGAGTGCTGGAACTGGGAAGCGGCAAGTCTAGAGGGTCATCCACTTGGTGGGCATCCTCAGGTGCGTTTTCTGCTACCTCGCCTGCTGCGTTTGGGTCAGCTTGAGGCTCAGGGTTGGCATCTGGCTGTCTAACGTCCCCTTCCACAACTTCCATCCTTGCAGGAACCATTATCTGGCTGCGATACCAGGCCAATCGCTGCCACAAATTCCTCTCAAGCACATAGAGGCGGTGTATAGCCCTCCGGAAACACCGTAGGATGGGAACAGTGTTGATGTAGTTGATTACACGCAAACATACATGTCGTGGGAGCGCAGGGTTTAGATATACAGTGGCACTCGCAATGATGAGCAATATGAGAAGCAGCCCGTAAGAGTTGAGCAGGAACACGCTCACAAATACATGGCACACGGATCCCAGGAACTCCATCGCCAGTCTGCATGGAGTCCACAGCAGGATGGAGGTGCCAACAAGACTGCTGTAAAGAAACGTCAACGCCGTCAAAGTCAGCTCAAGAGTTTTCTGCAAAGGACAGGACACTGCTTCCACCGTGCTGACCAACACTGAGTATAAATTTTGCGTGCCAATGAGGAGCAAGTTGATCATAGTGTTGATGAAATATAGCAACAAGCTGAACACAATTCCACAGCCTTCCCAGGCCTGTCGCAGCAAACTGTGTCCCGACAACAGTCCGCGGTGGAGAAGCTCTTTGGTGCGGAGCAGTAGATGCGAAGACAGGTATCCGATCATCTTGAAGCTTTCCAGGACGCCTCCCAGCAGCTGCATCCAACCTCCGACCATGTTATGGGTCACGACGGCCACTCCGTCCCTCATGGTGATGATGCAAAGCAGAGTGAGATTCCAGCACTCCGACACTGAATTTGTGAGTAGCATGGGCAGACTATTGATAAAGGAAATCACTGCCACCAACAGCTGAATTATTGAGTTTACAATCACAAAATTTAAATCCAGAAGGAGGCAAATGACATCTATGCATTTTCCAATTGAACTAAAAACAAAGTTCAGCAGACCCATAATAAGGATGTCCGATTGTGAAACTGGACTATATATTATCGGACTTATTATTAGTTGAGTATGTAGTTACACAAACAAACAGCTCTCGTAGCCAAGTTAGCTTGCGTGCTAACCCATTCGCATCTTTAGTAACGCTGACGCCTTGGCAAAGCACTTGGGGTTAAAATAAAACCAACCCGTCGTATCATAACTGACCATTAGCTGGGAATAGCATGTCCTCTGTTTTGGACCGAAACACTCATCCTAAACATGGGTAGCATAGTGAAGTGTCTGTCTGCTCACACTTGGACGGGAACTGCTCGGCGGATGTTTACGTTTGAAAATCGAAACTGCTGGCGTTGTCTGGTTGCGTAAAGCTGTATCCCACGTTGATGTTCATCCTTGGTACAGGGTGTAATTCAAGCGTCCGCGTTATTTTGTGAAACTCCAGGACGACGACAAACTCTCTTCTTTGTTTGGATTATTAATGAGTTAGAATCGAAAGCTTCTCGCTCTGTTTCAGTCCGTTATTTCCGCTTTACAACATTTGTTTGAAGTGGATCAACCCGGCGCTTGGGCTGCGCAGTAATGTGCCTTTCCACCTTTTAATCATTTTACTCTGCATCGATTATATTACAAATACTGTATACTGTCGTTTTTTTTTTGTGAAGATTTAGAGGGTTTGGAAAATTAAATCATTCATGATTGATAGTTAAAACAAATAAATCCTTATCCTTATCTATGCTATTTTCAATTTCGAACAGTTGTATTGGCTGCTTGATTGAATCACTGCATTTATTTATTTGTTTGTTGGTTGGTTGATTCAGGCAATTGACTTTTGTCCTTAGAATGTTGGACATGTTATACAATATGCACTTTGTTTCCATTTGAAATGTTTTAAAAGTTTTGATTAAAATGGTCAAGCAATGCCATAACATTTTCTAATATAGGACAGAGCAGGGCTAACTATCACAAACCATACAATAAAGTTAAAGTCTCTTAAAGATTAAAATACCAATATTATCATATTATTGCTATAGCAAGTAGTCATATGTCTTTCATATGCTATAAATATCTTTCAGACCACTCGTATAATGTTTGATATGTATAGGCTATGTTTATTTTTTTTATTTTTTCTTTATTTCTTTTTGATTTTGTTTCATGAATTGTCTTGTATATCATGTGAAGATTTAGAGGGTTTGGAAAATTAAATCATTCATGATTGATAGTTAAAACAAATAAATCCTTATCTATGCTATTTTCAATTTCGAACAGTTGTATTGGCTGCTTGATTGAATCACTGCATTTATTTATTTGTTTGTTGGTTGGTTGATTCAGGCAATTGACTTTTGTCCTTAGAATGTTGGACATGTTATACAATATGCACTTTGTTTCCATTTGAAATGTTTTAAAAGTTTTGATTAAAATGGTCAAGCAATGCCATAACATTTTCTAATATAGGACAGAGCAGGGCTAACTATCACAAACCATACAATAAAGTTAAAGTCTCTTAAAGATTAAAATACCAATATTATCATATTATTGCTATAGCAAGTAGTCATATGTCTTTCATATGCTATAAATATCTTTCAGACCACTCGTATAATGTTTGATATGTATAGGCTATGTTTATTTTTTTTATTTTTTCTTTATTTCTTTTTGATTTTGTTTCATGAATTGTCTTGTATATCATAATTGTTTCACTGTTTAACTGACTGAATGTACACTGAGAAATATTGACTGGAGTAAAATGTGTGACAACTAGCCCCGGTCTCGCGGAGTTATTTTTAAGACTATTTGAAGAATTAAGAATATTTGGTTGTTAACATTTCCCAGCTCAATCATCACAGTATCTGTTCTGTCATGAAGTGGACTTGATGAGAAAATATTTATTTTAAATATCCAAGGAAATAATGATCTTGTCTGCTCATTTGAGCTGGACAACTAAACAAAATGATGGTTTCCATTTATGTCAGTCAAGATTGAAGAAAATATATGACTGATGGATGGCTTATTGAACAAAAGAGAATGCCAATAGAGAAAGAATAGCCAAATTACCTAGTATTTCATTTATGAATGCCTCTATTAATATTTAAAGGGCAAAAGTCACACACACACATAAACACATGCAAACACACAAACAATGTGACGTGTTGGAACGCACAACTGCTGCTTTGCTGAGCATTTTTCTGAGGCCAAACAGACATTCTCAGCTGAGGGCCTCTTGGGAAAATAAACAACCTATACTTATCAAAGGCCCCCATTTGGAAGTAACAAAGCCCTGGAGAATAGATTTCCTTTGACAGATTTCCTTCTTCTAGAGCATAAAGCAAAACATAACTGTATTTTACATTCCAACGGGTCACTTCCACACCATTAAACTCAGTGACAGTCCTCAAGTGCTCCTGTCAGCTCCTTGCGGAAATCAGGTCACAACCGACAACAGGTCATTTTGTTGAAGGCTATTCTATTGTTTCATTGACCCATTTCTTAAGAAAACATAGCTGTTGGATTCTATTCAAACAACAACATGGAAAAAATGTTTAATGTCGGTTTCTCAGCACACGTTTTGTTGAATTAGAAATATTCTTGAAACTTTGATGGGTAGATTGTTATCCACACTCAAAATAATTGCTACACAATTTTTCACAATTAATTACATTTCATGCAGTCCACCTAATCCTTTTTTTTTTGTTGAGAATACGTAAATCAGTTTTGTTGACAAGTGAAACTGAACAGTGGATTTCTAGCTCCCAGCATGCATTGCATGGACTAGATCAGGGGATTAAATGTTGAATTTATTTGTAAATGTATGTAGTTTTAAGTAAAGGGAAACATATATTAGTGCTTTATGTTCAGTTATGTTGAAATTTAGAAATATTTCTGTCATGTTGGAGTTTTTGTGACTACTGTCATGGAGCTTATCTTGCTTTTTTTTTCTTTTATAATGCTTTATTGTCAACAAGTAGCATGTACAGTGCCATATCTCACTATATAACAAAAACATTACACATGCCTCAACAAGAAGGAACAAGGAAAAGGAAAAGGAAAGGAAAAAAATATACAAAAAATAAAAGAGGGTACATAAGCATCAGTTTACAGACAAATACATATTATACATATATTTACATTTCCATAGGATATTACAAAGCAAATTTTAATACAGAAAATATACTTTGCAGGTCAGTACCATTATTTATTATTATTATTGGGTTTTTTTTTTATATTATGTGAAAATGTCAAAGGAGGAGCATATATTAATCGTTTTAATTGCTTTACTATTTTTAGATTTTGACATCACATCTACAAACATTTTAATCTCTTTTCCAAGCACCATAAAAAGAGGTTTGCCTTTTGTAAACTTGCATTTATGAATGTGAAATTGACATAAAAATAAAATACAATTTATAATAAAACCAACATCCTTTAAAGAGCGATCCTTGATATAATAACCCAAAATCACATGTTTATAAGATAAGGAAAATGTTTTTAAAATATTATCAGCAATGAAACTTTCCACATTATTCCAAAAATGCTGGGTATATTGGCAGGACCAAAACAAATGAGAAATTGTTTCAGTGGAGCATTCACAAAAGGAGCATTTTAAATCAACATCAATTTTACATTTTTGTAGGAATTCTTTTGTTGGATAAACTTTATGAATTAATTTATATGAGATTTCCTTAACCTTATTTGTAAGGAGAAGTTTTTGAGGTAACGACCAAACTTGAGTCCAATTTACATTATTAAAGATATTGTTCCAGTAGAAAATAACATAAGGCGTAGAGCTTATCTTGCTTAGCTTGTTGGCTAATCAATATTGACAGTGAAAGGAGTTTTATTCATTGAGAAATATCTGTTAGCATACTACCATGTGTCATTGTTACAGTAGTTAGCAATCAGCTGTAAGAACCTCAACAGAATTAATTTGATAAGTTTCATTTTAGTGAGGTTTACTTAGTTTAGTTAAACTTCACTAAATATGACTTTTCTTAGACTTGTTATACAAGCTTCAATTAATTAAGGTTTTTCTCACTTCATTGAGCAAACTGTTTTGAGCACATTAAACCTGTTTTTAATAAAGAAATAGAGTTATCGTGGCTAATCTTTTGCTGTTTACTTGCTTATTAAATGCCTATTATGTTGTGAAAATTTGTGACTTTTTCTCACTTAGGGTCATGAACATGTCTACAAATTGTAGACACTCTGATGTGTTGTGGAATACTTACAAATTTCTATTACGATTATAAACCTTGTGGGTCAATTTGATCTGCATATTTCATAATTAAAGGCAACTGCACAGACCTGAAATAACAACATTTTTTATGTATTTTGTTTATCAGAAGAAACTTACACTGCACTGAAGGCTTACAGGAAATTTTATCAGATTATACAGGATCAGTTTGCTGGAAATTGAGAGTTACTAGATGCTCTACTGTTTAAGCTTCAGCAAAACTCAGAAGAATTGCTTCTGTTTAAAATGTCAATAAAAAAGATGGTTATGCTACTGTTTATAATATTCAGTTTATGAAAAAAAGTTTTAAAAAGTACAGTTTCAAAAATCATATTCCCATGTTTATTTTGTATTTTATTTTATTTTAATTTAATTTATGTTTTTTTTTTTTTGTCATGTGTGAGCATTAATGTTAAAGGTTGACTGTTTTTAACAGATTATCTTTACTTTATTAGGCCATTTTCTACATTAATAGCACCTTTGCAATTACATTTAAACTAACTCTGATTAGTTTGAAACTACGTCAACTAACTCTCATTAGAGTATTAATAGACTGTTAAAGGTGCTGTAGGTAGGATTGACACCGAGTGGTTGAACTAGGTATTGCAGTCCAAATTCAAAATATTGGAGAGGGTTTTTTTCACCCGGCCCCTCCTGCTCAGACCAAGAGCCCGCTCTCTCTCATGAAGCCAACAAGAAAGTGACTTAAACTGTAATTCATCAGCTGGCAGCTAGAGGCGAGCTGCAAAAGGGAGTCAATCCCATAGACTCCCCATGTTAAAATGCCCAACTTTACAGCAGAAAAAAAACGTTTACAGCCTGGTTCAAAAAATTATTTTGGTCTATATAGCTAATTTTGCCCTTCATGACAACTGTGAGGGGGGTGAATTTTTTTATAACTCATCCGTTTAAATTATATTAAGCCTTAAAGTTCTGCATAATTAAGGGCGTGGCCACTTGAGTGACAGGTGGATTGCCGCTGCTGTCACCACCGTCGAGCTAGGTGGGCGTGGCTTCAGCAACCTGCTCCCGACTCTTTTTCCATTTTCGATTATCCGGGGGTGACACGCTGCCAAAATGGCGACTGCCACCTCCTCCCACTTTTGAGCTTCAAAAACGCTCTTCGGAAATCTACGGGTGACGTCACCGACACTACGTCCATGTTTTTATACAGTCTATGCCTCATTAAAAAAAAATAAAAAATACAGTCTATGCCTCAGACTTGACGCACACGCAGGTTGCCAGATTGACGACACCAACAGAAACGAGCGCACTTGACGATGAATGAAATGAAATACGCTGTGTTTTCCGTCAACTGGCAACCCGGGGTGCCGAAATACAATTGGGTAAA